TTAGGATGTTCATGCATCAACAAATCAAAGTTGTATCCGTTCACATGAACTATATAAATGGTTTAACTAAAAGTTCAAAGCTAGCTGTCAGGCTCGATAATTACAGGAAAGTGCAGCAACTGAATCCAGAGACATGATATGACGTATATACAGATATTCTTTTACTCGATCTCATCTTTAACAGCGGCTATGAAGGTCTACAAAGCTTTAATCGAAAAGATTGCATACACTTATCGCCAGTCCCCTCCCCCTCCCCCCGTTCTCACGCCATTCACGCGCGCTTCCGCCTTATTAGCACAACTTAATTCAAGCGTCCATAAATATACAGTATAAATGTGATAGTAAAACATTACACTTCATAACAAATGTATCGTACACAACAAATTGCAAATTGCAAATAGATTACTTTGTAACCTTGTTTCCCAACACATATTAATATGCTTGTTAATTTTAATTGGTAGAAGTTGTGCCGACTATTTAATGAGAATGCGCTTATTCGAACAGTATGTATTGCATGAACGTAATAAAAAAAATCAATCACGCTTTAGCGTCAACGATGTCTGTTAATTTAGTTTCAACGCTCATTTAATATTTCAACTTAACCCTATGCGATAACGTTGCTCATTAAAGTTGCATTGACGAAATATGACGGTTTAACTAGAAAGTTTGGCGCTCAAGACGACGATCAGCAGTCAGGTGAACATGATAGCTTGATGGCAGATTTGCAATTCACAATTTCAACCATACGTAACCGAAAATAAATAATGACATGAATGTCTAAAATTATAATAAAGGTACTTGAAAGCTTGATCAATAAAGTGTGCTTAGGCTCCTTCATCGTTGAATATACAGCAAAATATTAATAAAGCGTATACGATATTTTGTTGCATGGCCTTAGCTTTTAAACCCGCCATAATAAGTTTTGGAATATATAGCATCCGGAATTTTCTCCCAAGAATTACAGCTGACTCTCTCTTGGATGTCCATTTACTGTATTACACTTATTTCTGAATTCCAAAGAACATTGTTGTTAGTCTGCTAGTATGAATGAAAGCATTATTCATAACTACTCATTTCTTCTCCAAGTTCTTGCATAATTGGCACTAAATGGCTATTCAGATTTCTGACTGTTAACCCTTCTTCAAGTTTGATTAAACGTTTTAAAAAGGTTTCATGTAAAATATCATACACCGTTGCTTTTCTATCACCGTGTTTAACTGTCGGGAGAACACAACTCTAATGATTGATACGTTGTTTAAAAGCCAGAAAGATACTAAATAAGTTTTATTAGAATCAGAAATTAATTCTCTCACCGTTGTTTTCAATAACTAGCTCACAACAACGTCGCATTGAATTTATTAAATTATTTAAGACAAATTCCGGAATAGAATTCCATTCCTCTGTCATAAACTCATTCAAATTCGTTTGTCAACGTTGCTCTTAACGATAGTCCATAAGTTTCTATAGGTCAGGACTACAAGAAGGCTAGTCCATGACCTTGGACACATCGTTAGCAAGAAATTCTTTAGCTACCTTATTGATATGCTTGGAAGCATTTTATTAATTTTACTAAGGTGGCTTTTCAAGAATTCTAACATAAAACTTGCCATCATCCATTATACGCAGGAAGCAAAATAAACTTATCTTTTCTCTTATGGAAAAATCAACTCGGGCGCTTCGATCTTTTAGCACACGTCAAACTGGACGTTTACCTTTGTGCCAGTGTCCAACTGTTTCCGGACAACTCAAATGCTGTTTCATCGGTAAATAAGGTGTCTTTTCAATTGTCGTTAAGGTCTATTCTGGCTGCTCTGCAGTCCGAGTTGTAGTTTGAAGGAGCCTGTCGCTCTTGGGACGTTAGCGCAATTCCTCTGGAATGAAACATCGCGGTACCAATTGATTATGTTCTTTCGAGTGGAGAAGGTAGTCACGTACAGAGAGTACAGTTCATGACTCCCACTTTGAACTCATATGTGGTGCAAAATTGGACAGTTTCCCCATCATGTCGATAATCTGCATATTGCACTTCAGCAAGCATACGCAAAATGATCCAGACTATGAAGGTCTGTAAGTATGAACGACACAATTTCTCTGTGAGCATTGGCTTGTTTAAAGCAAAGCCAAGGGCTTTTTTATAGCCTAAAGACTCTAATGATATTGGTGTATTATGGCATACAGCTTGATCGATAGATTTCGCTACATTGGCCGTTATTTTTTTTTATTATCGCCTCTATACTTCAAAGTACAAGCTTTTCAACGTTGTATCGTACAGTTTAGACTGATAACATTGTGTTTCAGCACAGAACGGACACCTTTGTTTCAATAATGTAATAAAGCGTGCATCTTTCGTTTGTAAGCGTTTGTTGACATTTGACAGCACAATTTGAAAAAGTTTGTTTATGTTTTTATTTATTCAAGACGCGTAATAAAAGACTGTTGTTTACATTTTTCAGTTGGTAAATTGAGCTAAAAATTGACAACCGTTTAACTAATGGTTAATTTTTCCCGCAAATAGTCAAGTTTTTTTGTATGCCATAACGTTTAGTTTATCTATTTTCGGTTACGTAAAACCGGGTATAAATAATCTCAATATTAGTATTAATGTGCAATAAAATTTTGCAAATTTACAGGTTAAAAGAAACGCAAGTACAGCTAAAATTGTATGGCATTTGAATTATTCATTATACGAAAAAAAAAATTTTTTTTTAAGGGTAGTCGGTGACGTTTGCGTAGGTAGAGTATCTGGCAAATAATTATTTTTTAACAATATAGCAAATTTTGGAAAGCAATGGTTGTTTAGATTAATATTGTTAATTATGATTCTACGCCTTTTACTGTACAGCCGAATCTCCATAAAAAAATCCTTTATAAATGAATAATCTCTCATAAAGAGCATTTTGTCATGGGACGAATTTGACTTGTTAGTAAATAAATAAACTCTATAAGAGATGTTATGCAACAAGTGATTAATAACTTAAAGCATTTTACTAATTAAAATTAGATACTGTCAGATGATAGTATGTCTCTAGACCGACGCACTGTCTAATTAGCTAGTTGCTATTGTTCTTTAGAGCGTGTACTAATAAGGGCGCAAAACTTGCATTATTGGCAAAGGGTGGCTTACTAAATATTAATTGGTACATCAACACGCGCATTTACGACCAACCGAATGTAAATGTCACCTACAAAAATGTCTGGAGACTTTTCTATCTACTTTATTTTCATTTAGTATTGAGATTTGCGTGCCAGTTGGAATGTACCAAAAAAATTGCTCGAAAATTAATATTATTGTAATACCACATATGTGTATGAAACAACAGAGCATATGTAGCAAGTTATTTGTTAACTATTATTGTAGACAATACTCAAACGCATCAGCCAAATGGTTATTAATGTTGGTCAATAATAATAATATGTAGCATAGTTGTGTTTAAATCACACATGTAGACTTAAAAGTTTGCTTTACTAATTTTAACGTTAAATACAAAATATTAATATACTGTGAGAATATCTTGCTGGCTGATTTTTTTACAACTAAATTTTATCATAGTCATCGGATAATGTGACTCTTGCTAACTTTTAAGTTTTCTTAGTAAATATTTTAGGTTTAAGCCAACGTGTGGATGAATGAGTTCTCAGTATGTTATCAGTATGTTCAAATATTTTAGTCTCGAAATCTCTGGCCAAATTACCTGATACAATACCGGTTATTTACGTCAGTAATCCCACCCCCCCTCACATTTCTTGAGCATATCGGCCAATCTCATTATTCTGGCTAAAATTAATTCCTCAAAGCTTCTTCTTTCCCATATTGTACTTCCGCACTTATCAATTTTCCCGGTTACCGCATTGCGCAATGTGGGGATTTAAATTGATAAGAGTAATGACGGAGAATCCTATTTCCAATACCATTTCAAGTAAGATAATAAGCGATATTCACTTAATAAAATGTATGCAACGTTGATCGAGGCCTGTTGTGCGACAGAATTTGTGGGCCACACGAACTATTCAATGCTTTTTGTAATAACCGCTTGCTCAGCACGAACGATTTTTAGAATTCTTTATCGTATTCTTCCAGATTGAGATAGACGTGTTCGATTTTAATGATTTTAATTCATCGAACATCCTGAACCATAATTGTCTTTATTACCGAATAAACGTACTAGCTCATCTATAAATTTGCTACATACTCCGTAATCGCTCTTATTTTACTTTCTATATTAATATTTACAGTTTCTTTGCCATTTGGCTAAAGTAAAAGGCGAGATTATTTCGGTTTCGTTTTTCAAATCCTTGACCTTTCGAAAAGTTTGACGTAGTCGCGTTCATAATTTAATGGAATACACCATATTCTAATGATGGTCTCGACAGATAAAATTGGTCTTCCATTTGTCGATTTGGCGGTTATAGTGATTATGTGATACAAACTATGGCCTTCGTTCGATAGAACCCAAGTTATTGATGTGCCATACAACTCTTTAATTCACAACGTTCCTCACCCCCAATTTCTCTTTAATGGGTTTTTTTATATCTCCTTTATTCCATCTAGTTCTAGTCTAATCCAACTAATTGAAAATAAATGGATAAATGTACATTAAAAAATTAAAGAAGGAGGACACGAATGATTGGATGAATGAATGGATGAATTAAATGACTTTCGGATGATACTGTATTTACAATAGAGTATAATGAATGAATAAATGAATATTATTGTCATGATTACAATGGTTCAAGTGGAAAACAAATACAGAATAGAATAACACTCTCGTGTAATTAGCGCGCTTATGTAAGATTATCGTTATACATTGTCCGCATTTAAGTCGCCAAGTAAATGAAATATGATAATAAATATATAGCATCTAATTCCCAAATGCTAATCTCAAAGACACTACGCGACATAGAAATAACGGCAATAGTACGTAGTCGGAATAAGAAATCAAGATCGCCAAGTTTACATTATATTTACTGCTCTCCCATAAATATATATATCCCAATTCTCTTCACCGCTTTTTGTCTGATCGTCGCACCACATGTTTAACCCATCCCATAATCCGTTGAGGTACCGATCGTCTCCTCCCTCTCGTGTTGTTAGCATCTGTTGTAGTATTCTTATGGCCGTCATCGCTTTCGCCGCTATGGCTCGATGACGCTGAATTCATCTTATTAACAACATCTGCACCCTCGGTGTCACCCTCGGCCTCAATTTCAGTATCGTTATTTTGACCACTGAGCTTCTGCAGTTCAAAGGATTTCTGCAGAGTTAATTTTTTAATTGTCCGACTGTCTTGTCTCTTTCTAATACTCTCGTATGGAAAATCAACCGAGGTCGTTGAGGAATTTGTAGAGGTAGCTATATTCCCACTTGCTGCTGTTCTCCCTTGAGAATCCGTAACGTTAGCATGTTGTTTAGGAGGCAAAGGATACAAAGGTCCTAACGAGTACGACGACGAAGACGACGAAGGTCTCGTTTGAGGTGTCAAGGATGAGGATGTAGAAACTGGTCGGGTGTGAGTATAAGTTGATGATGTGGATGCTGGACGAGTATGTGGACTTGATGACATAGAAGTTGGCCGTGGTCTAGGGGATGGTGGTCGCGGAGAATATATAAGACGGGTAATCTCTGGCGTTAAGGTTGATGGTGACGATAATGGACGACGGGGAAACTGTTGACGCTGCGGGAGAGGGGAGAGTGAAGATGTAGATGGTCGATGGCGACGAAGAGTGTTATCAGTAGGAGAAAGACTTTCCGTCTGCGTGTTTTCCACTTGAACCGCAACTAGTCAACTGCCATTTCCGCTTCCTGCATGGTCAGATTTTGGCAAGTCGCGTTGTTCAGGTGGAATATCCAGTTGTGGATCATCAGTATCACCTACGCTAGCTCCACCAATTCCAATATTTCCCTGTTGTTCATCCTCCTCTTTAATGGTTTCGGGTGCAGGCGTAGTAGGAATCAAGGACGAACGAGAGGTTGTCGCTGAAGGGACGAAATACGCTTGTTCGAGCACTTCTCTTGCGAGCTCTCTGACTAACATGGAGCCATCTTCTTGGCTTACTCTTGTTACCACGTCGAAAAGTCCATATTTGGCTACTACTGAATGATCAGCTTCACATATTGTCTTTAATATTCTCAGCAAATTAACTCGTGCAACGGCTTTCGGATGATTCAAACGATTAAGAAGATGACGAAAGAAGTTTGGCCTGGCTAATGCAATTGTTAATTGATTAGATAGGCGTGTGATCATATACAATGGTTCTAGTATATTCTCAAATGAATTAGCCTTGGCACCGATGAACGCTCTTATTATAAACTCGTAGCTTTTCCGTTCCAGTAGTATTGGCTCCACTCTTGCTGGCTCTTCTTGCAGCCATGTCAATATAGACTCCATTGCATTAACTTGCCAATATGGATCGGTCAACAATGATAGATAAAAGTGAAGTCCATTGTGCTGCCACAATATGTTACGGCATGTTCTGCCTGCATGTGCCATATCAAACAGTATTGGAAGTGCAAACTGCTTAAGTGTCATCCGCTTCTCGACGAAATACATTAGATGAGGCACTATACCAGCTCTGGCTCCTTTCTCTTGCCTGGTCTTGTTTATTCTGCATAAATTGTACATTGTATTGAGTACTTGGTTGGATATTTCCGGTGAGTAGGTGGGAGCGCTTTTAACCAGTATTTCTGTAAGCACTTCGATAGCGTCGACATTCTCCAATGCTTCAAGAGTATTAGAATTCATAGAAAGATTCTTAATACACTTTAACATAACTACGTGTAGATTAGGCGGTAGTTTATTCAAAATATCGAATAATCGAGAAATCACTCTGCCATTAACCATTGATTCAGCTTCGGTTTGTGAGAATAATAGGAAGATATTTACAATCCGATCAATATATTTCGTCACTGAAGGGTTGGAATCATAAAGGGCGTGTTCTAGAGTCACCGATAATGGATCGAGCAGCGAACTCTTGGCGAATAATCTACAAAAGTCGTTCTTTGTTGTTGGCCCCGGCAGCTGGAATACATTCCAAACACAATTGACACCAATCCATACTAATTCCTTGTGTTGTTCGTAAGCCTCGTTTAGAAAGCCCACCAACTTTTTTAATCCTCGACAAGAAATAAACATTTGTAGAGTCAGTGTCGATGTATAGCACATTCGTTTGATAAATATAGCAGCTTCTCGTCTTATTTCGTACGAGTAAGGCCTCGAAGCAAAGTTCATGATAACGGGAACACCTCCAACTACACACAGCTTCTCTCGCAAGTTCTTATTATCTTCGATAATAAAGTTAACAATCTTCAGCAGCCTCACCACAACGCGCTCAGACGAACATAATTCGAGTGTCTCTAATATTGGGATTACTCCATGAACTATTATCAAGTGATTCTTCAGTTCTTTATACTCTGTTAACAGATCCATCAACTGAATACAACTGTTGAGCAAACTGTCCTCTGCGGTAATTGGTTGCAACTGATTTATTAACACAGCAAGTTGAGAACACGCCCTCGCGTATTTATCTCTTGCGATATTAGCCTTGAGATCCATTTCTCCAAATTCCTCGCTAATTTCCATAAAAGGATCATCCTCGTCACTAAGATCATCTCTCAACCAACTCTTGTTCGAATGTTGCATGTTTAATTTGAGATTTTGATCATCTCGAAAAGCATCGTCATAGGAGTCTTCATCAACTTCTTGATACAAACGAAGCTTTTGTGAACTTCGTGAACCAGATGGTTCTGCCGTAATATTGGGGATTGCAGTCGTTTGGTTTTCAATAATTGGCGACATGGGGGGAGATATTGGTGGTGTTACATAATGAGACTCATCTGATGACTGAGGTGGGGGTTGAATTACTTTGATGGGTGGGAGTGGCGGCAGAGGCTTCTCGAGGAGGATTATTGTATGCCCATCCGGGAAGATAGGTTGCGAAAAGGGGTCTTTCATGTTTGCGGGAAGATCGTTGGAAGCCGATGAAACCGGGGCTGACGTCGGCCTACCAGACAACTTTTTACCGTATTCGTGCTTTCTACCTAGCCATGATCGCCTCTTGCGGTGCTGTTGCGAACGTGCTCTTGGTCGAGAATGGCCTTCGATCAACGTTCTTTGCATAGACGATGATTCAGGCTGACTATCGTCAGCTCTTTCTTTACCTTTATTCGATCCACTCCCTGTAAAGACCTGTTCTTGCTGTGGTGCAAAGCCAGATACTCGAATAGTGCGGTTGTCATCCTCGTACTCAACTTCTTCCTCAATAGTTCCAACATAGTCAAGTGGCTCGCTCCTCCCGAACATTTTATTCATCATCATCGAATCAAATTGGACATCATCCCAATTCTCCTCACCCTCAGGCTCTGGCTCCATTATTTTTCTCCTATTTCGACGAGATGGTATACTTGTTCCCCATTCATCCGAGTCGTAGTCAGATAAAGATTGCATAGAAGTCGATGAACCGGTAACAGCGAGGTTTTGATTGTTGTAGTGCTGATTTAGAAAAGGTGATAATGGTAGCTTCGAAGGAAATGAATCGGCTCGTGGTCTCGTTACTAATACGGGTTCATGTGAATCGGATGGAGATTGAATGAGTTCATTCCATTCCTGCACACGTTGCACATCCTCATAGTAACCAGGTTGCGTTATGATCTGGCGCATGCTGTCAGTGTATTTCTTGTTCGCATTGGCAATCCATGAATGTTTGAGTAGTTTCTTGGCAGAAACACGCAAGTTAGCATCCTTTTGAAAACATTGCTTTAAAAAGTCCTTAACAGCCGGCGAAGCACTCTCTGGTAGTGGAGGATGCTCATCTTGTACCATTCTGAAGAGGGCGGGATATGGCTCTAGATAATAATAGGGTGGCTTTCCTTCGAGCAATTCGATTACCACACAACCTACACTCCATATGTCCGATGCAGTCGTCGCCCCGGATAATTCGATTATTTCAGGTGCCATCCAATATGGTGAGCCAACTGCAGCATAATCGTTGAGCGCGCTGGTCTTGGTGGCAACACCGAAATCGGCTAATTTGACGGTACCTTCCGTAGTGGTGAGAATATTTGCTCCTTTGATGTCACGATGGATTACACCTTGGTCGTGAAGATATATTAAGCCTTGAAGCACTTGACCGATGTAACGTGCAATCAAGTCTTCGGGAAACTTGCCAAACTTTTTGCACATGGTATGAAGAGAGCCATTCTCGCAAAATCTAAAGAATGTGGATATGGGGGTGAAATATGAGTAGAGTTTTTTTTAATACGTATGTAATAATGAATAATGTGTGACAGCGCATGGTTAGTGTGAATATTAGTCACAATCACATGACTAAATTTAATAGCTCTTCGCCGATTGGTTGAAATCAAATCTAACCATGATGGGCGATGCAAAGTCTCACGATGATCCGAAAGTAGGTAATTTGCATGTGTGTTTTGGTATTTTTCCCAACTAAACAAGACGGAAGGAAAAGGAGAGAATACTTACTCCAGAATAATATACAAATTGTCATCGTTTTTGACCGAACCAATGTATTTGACAATGTTGGGATGCTGGCAGAAATGACCGAAAAGTTATTGAAATGGGATAAGTAGGGGCAATGAATGACCAGATAAGATCAAACTTTTCTCTTTTCGACTTACATTTAGATTACTCAATAGATCAATTTCCATCTAATCCGTAATGCAAAAGATGCATGCATGTGAGTCACCAATCAAATTCTCTCAATAATTAACAATGAATATCAGTTAGACAAATTACAAATAATGCGATGATATACTCACCATGATAACGTCAAGCTCCGAGTTGGGAATATTTGTAAGTTTTATCTGCTTTACAGCAACTGCTTGTCCAGTCTGCAGATTCAGTGCCTTGTAGACAGAGCCAAATGCTCCCCTGCCAAGACAGTCTCCAAAAATCAATGTTTGGGTGGAGAAGGTGAGCTAATGGATAGAGGAAAGCATGCGTAAGCATTGACGTTGAATAAGAAAGACGTCGCGGAGGGGAAAGTGGATATGTTTATGTATGTGAATAAATGCGGGCAAGTTTCGTCACTTTGCATATATGCACCACTTATATACGGGGGGGGCATTGATAAGACGGGTATCTTCATATCGTCTTTAATTAATTATCTCTTACCTGTCTGCCATGACTCTGGTTTATGGGATTTGACCCCATATTGCCTTTTGTTTTTCATACAACTAAGAATAGAGATATCCGGCTGTAAATAGCCACTACAGGCATTTGAATTTTCAAGGGCAGGGTAATTATTTCCTAGAGTTGTAAAGAATGTACGATGTATTACTTCTACAAAGAAGTGTTAGCCTGTATAGGTGCGTTCTGAACGAACTAACGACACCGCAGGAAGCTGGGTACGGGGAATATTAGGTGAGAATCAGAGACTGGTGATATAATGAGATTGACACTATAAACTTGACGACAACAAAAAAATTCGAAGACGCTGGGGGAGCCCAGCATTTTATATCGGTTGTGATATGCCGATTTTGATCAGCAAAAAAATCATTAGTTTATTAGGGGTGAGGCAATATAGCAATATAGTAATAGGGAATATAGGTAATATGATTGAATGGGTTTAATAATATAAATACTGCGTGATAGATGTGCATATGCTAATAAATAAACTGTAGTGGGAATTGCGTTTCGTTACGTCTTTATCGATGTATATTAATATTAACCATTAGACTAGGTAAACACATTGATAATCGATGCAGTTTATAGAACGCACAAAATATAATTATGGTTCTACATTATATATGTAGTATATGTTACATTACATTATTTGTATACTATTCTATTCATTGGTCTTTATATAATATATTTATAATGACTGTGTTCGAAAAGTGTTGAGGGTGATGTACCAGTATGAAGCAAGAGAATTAGAGTTTAGAAAGCAGACATGCATTATGTTTGAATACGGGAATTTTGAGATAGAGAAAAGTGAATGCTACTTGCACACATTGGCAGGCCATCCCAATCAACCGCTCGTATTCATATATATCGCAATAAATCACACTCTACCCAAACAGGGGAGGGCGAGTGGGAGGGGGGCGGAACGGGGACGGGAGGGGGGCGGGGGGCAATCTGCCTCCTTATCAAAGAACTGTTAATGGTCGAAAACGAAGAGGGAAATCCCAACAACAAATGATCTTGCGGATCGACCCTTGAACGTGACTGACAGCTGACAGGCTTTCATGGCAGAAGCTTATAGAATATACTCAATTAGGCAAAAGTCAGACAATCATAATACTTGTGATATTTCCCACCCACTCTATATTCGAAAGCTCTTTGTTTTCTTTTAGACTCTGCATATTATTCTTAGTAGACGCGTTATATATACCACATATAAATAAAAAGTTAAACTATCTATCTGTCCATCTATTTATTTATTTACTATTTCCGTAAGGATTACAACATATTTCTCATGCATCGCGACGTTCCAAAGAACTTGGAATCAAATAGAACAAATAGAATTACACCCACAAGCGAATAGAATGCAAAGGTGTGCCATAAAGAGAATAATATAATGTAACAGGGGAAAAAATTGCATGATTGCTCATGTATCAGACAAGGTTTCCTAGACAACTTGCTAACTCTATTTTCATCAAAACATTTGGTATTGGATAATTTTATTTAATTAAGCTTGCCTGCATGCGGGTATTTAATAATAGCAAGATGTCCGGTGAGATACAGATACGATACAAGCAAACCTATCGACTTGATGGGCTGTGTGTTTTTGGAAATGAGGTTTCGTCCCTCGGTACATCAACACATCGGTCTCATCCCAATTTATGTTGACAAATATACCGATTCCTTCGTCTCACCCTCAAAGGGTGATTTACTGTTACATCGCCATTCATCTTCTGTTGTGTATTTCGCACAAACCGTCCTTGTTTGATTGTGGTTGGTGATGGTCGATGGAAACTATTTGAAAGAATTTTCAATTAGAACTGCCTCTGCTCCTTGAATGTTACAGCCTACAAAAATTTACCGCTTTATACCGTCCCGTTATTGCCATATTAAAGGTTAGGGTATTGTTATTCATTGTCTGAAAAAAGGCAAATCAGAAAAATAAGGAATGAAATCACAAAGAAATTCAAGGACAAGGACGACAAATAAGAATCTAGATCGAGTCTATGAACAATTATTGTTATTGTGATAAAGACAACGACAGACAGGATGCTCGAGTGCTTTTAGCCAAAAAAAAAAAAAAAAGTACGTCTCTACACAAGATTAGTGCCGGTGCCGGCCGAATAATATTTCAAAGAGATTACAAATTGATTATATGGTTAGTGGCGATGCCTGGAATTTCACACTCTTACTCTTTGTTCCCACTGGATGTAGTTTTGGATGACTACATTTTTAATGACTACATATTAATATGGGCTTACAATTAGGATCTGTCATCATCATTGGGTTTGTTGTGTAACAAGAACAATAGTTAGTAGCGAGATCATGCAATGTGTATATAGTATTAACGTATAGCATAGACAGATCCTGGCTGCTTGTGCACCCGGCTGCGAACGAATGGGAACCACGCAATATTGTATGAGACGCTAATATAGACCACGATATTTCAATACCCTTTGCGACTAGGCAAAACAAAAAGACAGGTTGCTTTTGCAAGACGCAAACGGCGTGCGATATTCACGCTTGCCAGATTTTCCCGATGCCTAATTGTGAACCTGCTGCTATATTCCATATTTATCGAATTACAAGGTGAGTGTGAGCATGTGTTATACCACATGTGGGCATTGGTGATGACAAATTGATATTTAGATGTACATTAAACATCTTGTAAGTCAGTAATCGGCAGCTGTGGCGGAGAATGTAGGTGTCTGTCTATTGGACGACGGAACTAGATGTAAAAAAGTATAAGATATAATATCCCCGCTCCATTACCTTGTTATTAAAAAGTACATATTAAAATCATATATATATATATAAATGATATTACTGTTCAATAGTATATTAATGTTAATGGGAATATCCCTATCACAAAGTGCGCTTAATATTGTTGGTCTGGTAACACATTATGGTTTTTTGGGTTTTTTTTTTGGAATCGGCAACTTCGAATTCCCCAAATGGAAAAAAGAAGCTTCGGGTATATTCATACAAAGCTGCGCGGCCGACCCTTGCTCCAGATATCAATCAGTATGAACTTGCGTTTTGAGGCAAACCTAATTATGCTCCTATATTGCCTATTGGTTATCAACGACTGCGGCCGAACATCCCTGTTTATAATGATACTTTTTATAGAATCTCGAGATTTCTCACACAATCTCGGCGTTGAACCTTTTATTTTTACCATAAGAAAACGTTTATTTATAATAAACAGGTTTGACGCCCTGCCCCTTCCCTAGCCAAACTCTGTATACTATCACCATGATTCATGCATAGGTTAGCCTATTACCATCTGGCCTGACGCGTTGGACCAAACTGCCACACGGACCCCAACACTCCATACAAGACAAAGGGGTTTTGGGGAGCAAGTAAACCTTCAACAGGATTGCGACTAAAAAAGTAAAGATAAAACCAAAACATGGCGATCGCTGTCCTTATTATAGTTACACGTAGCGATACGCTCAAAAGATACAGCTAATGCAGGTCCCAACGATACTGCAAAATATGCAAAAATGCAGATTGCCATATGTATTTCGTAACATGGCAAATAATAATAATAATTAGAAGGAAAATGTCTCATTCTCGGAATAATCCATCCCACAAGATTATTACGTCGTTCTAATTTATCTCTCGACAATGTTGGGTATTAAAATATATGATTCCATTCTTATCATTATGTGATTCCATTCTTATCATTATTCCATTTATACCAATTTGGAAGACAAGGGGAAGGGGGTTTTAAGCAGTTTGAGTGAGATGCAAATGCATATGGCATTGGCTCGTTCTTGGCAGCCAATTATGCAGTCTCCGCTCATAAAAGAAACAAACTTCTTTGTACGTCTATTACGAAGCGAACTGCTGCTACTGCTGCACGGCTAGCTGCAATACCCCATCGTTCGCACTCAGATAAATTTGTTTATAACCATATTTGTTCATCAAGCAAGTCAAATTTTATGCAACTAATTAAATAGATCCATCAGACAATGGCTCTTCCACACAACACAGCATAGGTAAGTCAGTATATCGTATACCCAATCGTTATTGTCACTATAGGCTTTTTTAGGCGGTCTGTTGCTATAAGCTTTATATGTCTTATGTGTTAATTAACACAAATTTACCATTGATGCAAATATTGCTGGAAAGGTTGTTAAGAGCTTACGAAAAAACACATGTTTGTTCTCAAGCAGGTTAGCACGCCCAATCAACTTAATAAAACTTTATTACTTTCATCGTTGTTCCTCCTCCCAAACATATGACTCGTTCGGGTGATTAAACCCAACCCATTATAGAACGATTGTCTCAAATTTTGTAATGTATAAATATAAAGTTTCGGGCGAACCTTTTCTTTCATTCTTGCAGCTTTATTGTTTCAAATTTATCATTGCATTCAAATTTATCATTGCATTCAAATTTACATTGGTCAATTTACCATTTTTGAGTGACATCCAGAAAACAATGTTTCGCTTGGTAAGTATCAAAAATCACCGAGAACATGAACGCTTTTTAGGCTACATAATTTACTACCGAGTTTGTCTTTAATCACCAACTTTGTTGGCAGCTATGTATAGTATTCGGATTTATCACTACTAATTATATCTCATTACCGATGAAATTCTTTTCAACTGCAAGTTTGGTCATGATATAGACACAGGGAGTGGAAACGCCATGAGCCTTACTTATTTCTTTCATCGAATGTGTATCTAATACACTATATGTTCTGATAACACATGCCACGAAGCTAGATAGGAAATGCGTTTAAAGTCTACGTAACATAATAATAATCCATACCAACTATTGCTACTCACGACTTTCATACAAACTTTCAACTCCTAAAACGAACTACAGAGAAGTGAACAGCCATTCTAAATTCACATGGGCGGAGAACTTTGATTGGCATATGTTCATTTGCGGAACTTCGCACTTTAATGTGTCAGTTTAATGCTCTACGAACGTCTGTTGCCTAACATTGGCATTGACACAAAGAGAATGTATAGCTTTACTTGGTGTATCAAGTTTGGTATCAAACCTTTCTTGTATGACATCAGTTAATTTGTACTCATGAAGTATTTCTATTAATATCTATCGCAAGGCATTGGATTTGATCGAAAAAGTTAGATAAGAAGAATTACAGCCGTTAATTTCTGACATGGTTAATGAATGCAACACAAAAATCAATGACGGTATTGCTTTAAAGATTAATTTGAGTCAAAAGCAAAGCATCTACAGCAAGTTCAGAAAAAGATAGGCATTATGGGCAGGTGCCTTTTGGTCCGTAAGAAGCGTTATATTCAATAAACTTTTAATAAACGGCATGTTGCACAATAAATCTTTGACGATATTATCGATTACCAACATACAACGATTGTTCGAGAGTCCATTTTATGATGACAACTGTACAAAATAAGATAAAAATATCGTAGTTATGTCTACCGTTTATTATTGTTTTGTATACTGTACTCAAGATTGTTTAATAAGCAAACTTTTATCGTGTGAGCGATCCAAGGTAACGTAATTGACTGACGCGAATAACCACAGTAATACTCATTTAAGAAAGTAACGATCCAAGTATATGTATACAGATAAGTTTGCTAATGAGAAAAAAAGCCCCGGACATAGACAAAGTATAGATGGTTGTAACCTATTCTGTATTAGGCAACACTAATACACAGTAAATCTGGATTATCGAAGGAGACGTTGCAGACATTTTGCTTCATTAAATCCAGTATTAAATTTCCTTTAAGGTTTGTCATATCCAGATCCACAAGCTGCATAAAGCATATTTAAGACAAATAGCCGATTGCAAAATTACTACGGCAAAAGGCATTTAAAGGTTTTGACATAACGTTGATAAATTCTACTTACATAATAAGTATTTATTCTTCAAACTCAATAATCTCGACTTTCGAAGTCAATTCAAAAAATAGTTAGAATACTCTTGTGTATTTCATTTATTGATATTCTTTTGAAGCGGAAATTAGAAACCCACCAAAACAAAACAAATCTAGCTAATTGCTTCAAATATTATTCTCAGCATAGAGGGCAGATTTAAAGGCTAGCTATGCAACCAACATATTCATCATTATGTAGTAAAATGGGTTGTAATCGAAGCCATTGAAAAATTTGCTTATAAACAATTTTAGTTTTTGTTTTTTCTATTGCTTAGTGAGCTTTGGCAATACTTTTACATTATTATATTGCAAATGTAAGGAAAGTTGATAACCTTTGAGACGATAAACTAATTTAAATTACTATGCTTCTTTAGTGACAACTCCTGCAGCTCTGTCGAATTTTTTTTTACTATTACAACATTTGTTCTCTCTTAAGCTTTATCATTCAAATTTTACAAGTTTATTATTACAAAGCTTTGTTTTTTTACAAAATTTTCTTGCATCTACTTTGCAACTTGAGCATATCTACTTACTACAATATAATTTCCTCCATCTATAACTGCCTTTTAAAAAACATATCCATATATGGTGGCTCCCGTTAAACCGGAGCCGTCCGTGCGAGACGTCAGCCTCGGTTTAACGGCATCTCTGTTTACGTATAAATTTCTACCAAGTATACCTGGATTGTAACAGGAGCCACTATGTATATATTAAATTGCCCAAAATTCTATTTAGAACAATTTAAACCTAAACATTGCGTGTCGCTCAATCTTAATACAATGCCATAAATATTACTAGTGTTAATTTTTAATTGCAAATATTGCCGTTACTTCTCTATTAACATAAAAGTTTTTGTTTAACTATTCAGACATTTTCTATTATTACGAGATTAAAGAAATGATAGCCAGTTAGAAACAAGGATAACTCTGAAAAAAAGTTTTGAGTGGATTGCTAATGTCACTTTTTGAAGGGATAGAAAAATATAAATTAAATGACTGGTAAATTGTCCTCGCCCACCAAAACTCGCCTTGAATAGCTACAACTTTGTCGGGATTTACTGATGTGTTAATTTTCTTTTCTCCATCAAGATCAAGGCTATATAATAATGGGTTGGGGACCTGTCTCAGTTCTAGACTGAGTGACTGGGTTCTGATTCCAAACTCAGACACAACATATCTAATGTCTTATTTACGCAGTTTGTCTCTCAAAGCTCCAATTTTGCGCAACTAATGTAAAATGGAAAATTATCATTTAATGACTGCTGTAGCGCAGCAGTCTCCGTATAATTATAGATGCATAATAATCGGCATTAAGATTTATGCGATGAAGTGAATATTCACTTTAAAAGATGTTACACTCGATTAGTAAGAATTAGATATAATATTTTCCAAATGACTTATTACCCCATTATTAATTATACGATGCAAATTAGAATTAATTTATATTATCTTGACATGATATTAGCAGCGGTAAAATCCTGGCGATTCAACATGTCTAGGAAATGTCCGTAATTAATAGGAGCATAGGGCATGTTCAGATATTCGATCAAACCATAGAATAAAGGAAAAGTGCAAATAAGTTCTGGTATTACTTGCGGTCAATCTAGAATAGTTACCTTTGGCTGGATATTATTAATTGATAAAATCATCCAGTAGTAAATTTGCTTAATATACACCCATGTAGCACACTCCCTTGTTGCTAACAGCAATTATAGTGAGCGATTACTATAGCAAATATCTCCTTTACTTAGTAATAACCATAGTGAATATAGTTGAGTGAGGAATTACGGCCAATGGTTTCGAAAGTCAGTAAACTGTAGAATTGAGGCTTGTGTCACTAATAATATTCGCGGTCTACTACAAAAGTAAGCGTAACTTACCAAATTCGCGTTTTGTACTTTAATAGAGTATGTATAGCGGTAAAGTGTTTACGCACAGGCAAGAAAGCTAATAATAAAGATTGACAGCAAGTTTATTGCAATTATAAATTTGGAAATTTGTGCCGAGACAACACTATTCTCAAGCGCATATCTCTTCTGACATTATACAGATAAAGGCTTAAGATGAGGCATTAATGTGCATACTGCCAACAGCGCGGAAACAAGCATGAGCGTAACAATAGTACTGTAATAGGGCTGCTTTTTTAGCTTGAGCCACAATAGCTGGACAAGACACTAGTGTTTTTTGCTTATCTCTAAGCTCTAATTGAGATAGAATGGCTTATGCGTATATAGCAGCTCATTGCAGTAGCTCATTTTTACCTAATGTCAGATGGCAAAGAAGTAATTGAAACATATGGTATTGGAAAAAACTCTCAAAGTTTCAATTATTTTAATCTTTCTGCAAACTCACTCGGTCAATTAAATCTCTCCGCGCGCGGGTAGTTTTTGTACACGAAAAAAACCCCCCCCATCAATTTTGTATCGACATTCTGTTTCAATAATTAATATGAGCATGTTAAAATCTGAAGCATAAAAGTCTATCAAAATCTGTAAAGCATGGTTAAAGAAATGTAGAAAAGTCAACCGCCAAAGATTGACAAATCCATTTTTATAATTGAGTAGTGGAGCAAAACACCCGAGCTGACGCAATTAATAAACATGTCACGTTGTAAGCTTATTATTAAATAATAAAAAATGTAGTTGATGTTTTTTTTTTTTAATTTCGTAGTTTTTGAGAGAAAGGCTTTTTACTTCCGTAAACCTTTTTATTTGCGTAAATATATTATTATTATGTCAGGGTACTAAATTTACTGCAAATGCCCGCAATTATATAAATAAATTTGTCTTGGTTGGCATAAATGAAGACATTATACGCATATCTTCTGAATCGTTCCTCTACTATTATTATTACAAATCTACAGTCCCCGGCGAAAATAATGGCGGTGACAATCGTTTTTAAAATTTTTATAAAAAATTCGATACAAAAATCGGTTATCTGCTATTAAATATGTAAATGTATTGTTACTTTTCTTATTTACTTAATATGTCAGGCATGATTAAAAATACCCTTGTCTTTAACAGTCTCAAATTTACTACAAGATGTTCGCGTTTTTAGACTTGCTAATTAAAATTTAGAAGATTACAAGTCGAAAAATACAATGTTTGCCTGATATAATCGAATCTGATGATGTAAAAAAGCTTTTACATTTGCTTTTTGTCAAGTTACTCAAAATTTTATTCATAATATTAGGCTTAAATTAATATAGATCTAAAAAGAAGCCACTTTTCATCTTGGTTTTTTTGCGAGTTATAATGTTAGTTTTAACTTCTGTTAAATAAAATTTTTTTTAAAAAATAATAAAAACAAAATCGATATATTAAAAAAATACTGGCCGCCATTATTTTCGCCGGGGACTACAATATGAGAAGTTTTAAACAATTTGATTCGTAGAGTCAACGATACGTTCGGATAGTGTATCAAGATTTCAGAGTTTTTTGCTCGAGAAAACAAATTACCGTTATTATTATTTTACCCAACCGAATTAGCCAAATTAATAAAAGAGCACCAAACCATTGCATACGTGTGTTGCAATAAGATGACAGGCGAGTAAACAGAAAGGCATCTATCAATCGCTCACACCCGATTTGGTTGAAAAGCCTGTGATTTTAACGTTTTTGTCCCTTGTGTGCAACAGTCTACCGTTTTCAACGCGACGTTACATGTAATTGGAAAAACAAAGCTTCATATGTCTGCACCCTCTAATTATTGAGGTGTATGGCTTTATTCAGGGGGTACAAAATTATTCCATAAATTTTTATATGAAATAAAAAAACTAACTTTAGGACCACTTATTTCATCAGTTGTCTGAATGAAATGTTAATGTTTATTTAATATAACGTGTCATAATGAGCGAAACAATAAATTCCAATTTTCTGCTTTGGTGCGTATGAAAAGTATTGCACGGTTCTGTTTTTAAGATATTGAAAATTTGCTTTAAACATGAAAATTTTTTGATTTACTTAAATAAATGGCAACATTCAGTATTTCTTCCGATTACAGCAACAGCTTGAATTTGGTTGGGCACAAGATAATGGTATATTTTTCGCTGACGCGGATTTCACTCTTCTTTTACTGATTATGTTTTTAATGATTATAGTGAAAACCCGTTGAAACTGTTGCGCGATAGTATCTTATCTTTTTTGCGATTATTATGTTCTTGCATCCAGCTAGTTTTTTTACCGTACTCATGAGGAATAAGCTCTTTAGCGAGACTCATTATGCGCCAAAGCATAAAATTGGGGTTTTTACTAATCTATTACTCTGCTCATCATGACACGTTATATTCAGACAACTGATGAAGTAAGGGGTCCTATAAAAAGTTTATGGAATTGAATAAATTACAATTGTGCAATACTTCGTCCCCATGTACTTGATGGTTATTCGCGAGAATTTTATTGTTCATTGAGCAAATATATATATCCAAAAATCTATTCAACATACACGATAAAGGTTGATTACTTAATATTCAACATACGTGCTCTAAGCATCGACAAACCGTATAGTTGCAATTACAACCATAAAAATATGTTGTTATAAAACTACATGCTCGACCATCTAATTCCATAATTTATGCCAGCAATCATTCCCAATTGCCGCAAATTTTGAAATTATTGATGGCTTACGTACGTATAACAGTTCACGGTTAATACTACAAACAATTTATAGTCAACCATAGTAAGCGTCTTCGAATAGATTGAGAATAAGACAACTTTAAATCTTGTAGATTATCAACTATAGCAGTAAAGATATTAAATTTCAGCAAGATATCCCGATAGACAATACTATTGTAGACTGATTATGCATGATTGTATGTTTCTGCATTTGCTGTTACGCCTCTGTGAAAGTACAAAGTTTTTTTGTTTTTTTTTTTTTTAATTATTTTAAGGAAACTTGTAGATTAAAGATTCCTTATCTTCCATCGGCTGTTATATTTTATAAGCTACTTATGTAAACCAGTGAGTGATACACTTATCTATCATCATTATCATCGCACAACGACTGTTGAGAAATTCTTGGCGTGTTTGTGCGTGGGAATAAGGTTCTGGAGTTGAAATCCACAGTGACGATGTTGTTTAGGTGTTGGATAGCCGTCTATGTCAGTTTAGAGTCAGCAAACTAGTTTCAGTTTTGATTGAAAGTGGTTAGGAGATTCCGAAACTATAATGTACAGTAGTTTTCATTTCCACATATGTAAATTAACTTCTTTAGACTATACTAATACTAAGGGATAAGGTTAACTTGTGAAACAGGGGGCAACGGCGTTTCATATTATTACTTGTTGTAAAATTACGCGTCCAAATCAGGAGATGTTTTATAAAAGTAAGGTTACATCGGATAAATTCTATAGAAACAGTGATCTGAAGTAATGTTCTCGTGGAAAGCTTAAATTTTCGGTTACCCAAATTAAACAAGCAGATCAGATCACATATCCTTAAAGAAAGCGTGGCGGCCAGAGCTTGATGTACTTTGACAAAAGGTTACACTTACGACTCAATTTTTCTGATATGTCTGATTACATAATAATAATGCCTTGTTGTCATATTTGTAGATGATTAAACCGTTTTACGTCATTATTAACCTTGCATACGTTTGCTGCACACAGCACATCCAAACACAAGTCAATAGGAGAAATTAAATGTCAGAAAATTTCGTAAGCAAAGATTGTGAATATCGTTCTTTTTCTCTCACATGGAATACGCACAATCAGAACAATTTGTTAAATCCCAATGAGTTGAATTAATAACCTATCGATATTCAACTTGATCGAACCATTATCTAAGACAGCAGTTATAGTTGTTAAACTTCATTTTCATAGAAAGTCCCATCCGTTAACCAGATTATTTAACAAATCATAAAAAACTCAATTAAGAAGATTTATTTCTTTAACCGAATTGCTTGACAACAGTCTATGACTAAATCAAGAGTGCAGATATAGGATAAGGTCATTTGCTTGAGATGGTATAACGATATAACAGCACCATTTACGCTACATGATTTCTAATGCCCAGGCTTATAATTTCCAACAGAGAAAGTTCTCAATGTTCAACAAACAAGCTGGAGACTCGCTTGGCTTATTGCACCAGGAAAACTTCAAACTGATAAGACAAACGAACAATAACTTGACTTGTGGGCAAGTAAGCACCCTAGTAGTAATTTACAAACCCTCGAAACCGAAAAAGTCAAAGCACAGTATCACAAGTACTGTTTACTGCAGGAATTGCAGTAAACAGAACTTTCCATGGAATAAGACTGCATGCGATAACTTATCCGGGAAACGGCTTTCTTAAGAAAGTTAGATGGGACGAATGTACTCGTCGTGCATCACTACGAAATCGTATATATTAATATAGCTATTGTATACGATATAAAGACTCATTCCTTGTTGGGAAAGGAACAGAAGCTGCATATGCCTAATGATGTTGTTTGTGTATAATGACAGTTTTAGCCGAGTGCGCTTTCCTGGTCTTGATAATATCGATATTTCAATTGTGGCTAATACAAGGCTCTGATCTCAATCCAGTTAACGCTTTGCAAGAGCATCCAAACCTCTGCTAGTTTAAAAGCCCCAATCGAAAAACCCCTGTGGTAGTCATGTGATGGCGGAGCTGCGTATTATATATTCTTCATATTCATGTAACTTTTCCCTTTAAATTTATTCTTTGCCCATAATTAGACAAAAGAACGGTTCACTTACAATTATTGTTGTACATACTTTTTAGTTATACCTTTTTTTTATACAGAAGTGTGCTCCAAAATGAAGCTAGAATTCCCTGTCATCGTTTTTTTTTTTACTTCTTATATCCCTTACCCTTTGTTCTCAGCCGTTCTTACAATAAGCCTATATTATCCTTAATTATGCATGTTGTTCCGTAATCTTGTGTAATATTCATACTGTACTCGTCGATGCAGGCTTTCCAACCGTCCATTGTTTGTTTTTTTTTCTCTTTTCTTCCATGCCACCAAGTAATATTATTCGTAAAAACGTTAAATGTAATGTAGTCTAAAATGTATCTTGTTTCCGCGCGGCACAACCAAAGCACACACATTAACATTGCATGTAGAAGTGAGAAACGAATGAAACGAGAGATCAAAAAATTGAAAAACGAAAAAAAAATCTTAGCAGGAGAGAAAGAGTACAAGAAATGAGGCCGTATTGATCGGATTAATTCTTTTCTGCCTCAACATTCCGTCCCCGAGCAGTGTTTGTCCAAAATCGCGCTTTAATCCATTCTATACGAATGTCCTACCATCTCAAACTTGATATCTCTTCCTACACCTATTCCTACTCTTTCATCTCTTTCATTCCCTTCCTCGTAGACCCTGTCTCTCCTTGCATTGTCGATTACATTCAGTCCGTATTCATTTCTGCTCGAACCTACCAACGCTGTTGACATGTAACCATTTGTTGCATAACCATTCCCATACGCCTGACACCCATCCCAATCATTTTTCCATTCGGTGCTTGTTCTTTTCAAGTGTTCAAATCTGTAGTTATAATTTCCTTCCTGTTCAAGGTTGAATGCGTTTATTGATGGTTGGGAGAAACTACGAACCGGAGGTAGTGACTGTCTCACCCCCGGTAAGGGTGAGCGTACTTGAGAGTACTTGTCCAAGTTGTTTGGCCCTTCGTTGTACATGCAATTATTATGCGCGTCATCATGTTTCCTCACTTCCGTTCGTGCTCTCATGTCATTGACACCATATGTCGAATGCGATGGATTGCTTCTGCTAGATGACGATAAGTGCGATGATTGCGGTTCATGAAGACTACTGGCAGATGCGATCGGTACAGGTGGAAGCGAAGGCGATTCTAGTGAAGGATGATCTGCGTGTACTGAAGGTGATTTGAGCTTGCGAACTTCGGTTTCTAAAGCCTGAATGTAGTGTACGGCTTGTAATTGAGTATGGAAGATTTGAAGTGAGATGAGATCAAAGAATGAATTAGTAAGAAAAAGCTTTGGATCAATGGTTGGTTAACGTGCAAATATGCGTGTTATGTGTGTATGTGTGTGGTTTGTTTTTTTTTTGTGCGCAAACCAACGTAATCCTGACGGAGCCCTCGATTTCGTCATGTTTCCTTTTGTGGCAATAGCATTGATCTTGTCATTTTCATTCCTTCATCTTTTACCCCTGATCATTCCCTTTCGATTGTTTTGTTCCTGATATGCATCTAGGTTCCATGGAGAAAAAAAAATATCCGACGGTGGGAAGAAGACTCACCCCCCCCCCCAACACAAAATGTTCAGCCCCAGCCCATACTCCCACGCCACGTGTCTGTTTTACAAAATCTAAATAGTGAAATGACATAATTAATCTATGATGTTATTATAATCGTATACGTTAATATATACTACTACATAATATTTGCCTACCATTCTTGTAGCAGCTCCTCACTGCACACATGCACGATTGTCTTTTCATGCTTTGCTTGTTAAACAGCGCATTTGTTGTTTGCCTTTTTTTTTTTTACCCACACACATTACATGCGAGATGATCAGAGAGGAATGAGACGGGAAAAGATTGAAATAAGATGCGCAGATATTGCATTAGACCTGTAAGGAAAACAAGGAAAAAAAGTAATCATAGATAAGATGAGATTTGCGATATGAGAATAGTGTAGCAATATAATAGTAACCATATCCTTATGATAATAACGTTTGTCAGAGATACAGACCATATCATCATGAAATCACTAATAGTGAAGATAGTATTTGTCATAACAAAGCTTACCGGATACCACTGAATCAATGCACTTGTATATACTCGATGCACGCACACGCACACACACACACACGCACACACACGCACACACACGCACACACACACGCATACACACGTGTATATATATTGCTCTCCTTATTCAACCCCTTCATCTTACCTTTTTTCAAAATGATCGCTTTCGAATCTGCACATCCACGACAAGTCGGAACGATATTCTTTAATTCTTCAAAACCACTGTTGATATTTTCTCTTCTTTTTTGTTCGCTGCGTATATGCGCTAATCTACGACTAGGTGCTTGTGTGTGGTGGATTGATGTATGAATGGATGGTGAATGATGAAGCTGTGAGGGAGTATGCGTTATGGAGGAGGGAGACGCAGAAAGATGTGGATAAATCGGTGGCAAGTGGGTTGGTGATGATGGCGGCATATGTTGTGGAGACAGGAGTGATGAAGATGAAAGGGATGAGGGTGTTTGTTGATACTGTTGTTGATAGTAAGACTGCATCTGCATATGTGTGGATAATTCCGATAGTGATTTCCTACGTGTAGAGTCCTTCCTGAACGGTGTAGAGTTCATATGATTAGATTCTAATTGTAAATGTGAGTTAAAGGACGACATAGGTTGTAAAAACGAGGACGAATGATGCATTTGTGCCAGATATTGTCGAGATGGTTGGTTCTGTTGTTCTGTGCCTTGGCTGGGTTTTTGTGTGTTGTGTTTCGAAGTAAAGAAGAAATTAAATGAATTAGAAGAGGAATATTCGTTGTTGATTGGTAATATTATCCAAGTGTGTTAGCGTGCGGTGGGCTAATTACTGCTGCAGTCATTACCGACAAAATATTCTTGCCGTACCTATAACTACGGGACACAGTTTCCTCTTCTTTGTCATAGATACGTTCTATTGTTCGTTCTCCTTGCTCTCTATGCACATTATATACATGCACATATAATAATAATATAGTTTGAATTACCTGATCAGGTCGGTAATCTCCATAATTGTATATCGCGTATATATTTAGTGATACTTTATTCGTATGAATGCGTATAAATGCGTATAATATGTCGTATAATTGATACAGACCGCGATCACAGAAAGGTGCTCGACTCTGTCGATAAATCGCCCAGCTGCGTTGTCTGCTTAATTTTTTGTCGGTTACTCTTTACGTTCAGTAGAATGTATCGATTATAAACTGAAATATTGTTCATATTAATTTGCTCTAATTGTAATAAATGCGAGTTGTTTTTTTGGAGAGAGAGGCTGCTCTCCAATAATACAAGCAAGCAATGAATTTAATAAATGTTAAAATTTACTTAATTTGCAGAACCAAGGTATTTTATATACCTTGCATCTCTGTGGCGCTGTATAGTTACACATACAGTATAAAATGCCGAATATCTATTAGACTCAAAATAAGGCTAACACAAAATTTATAATATTAATATAAAATGTGTAACGAGCTTCGCTAACATATATACCGATTAATAATGTCTGCACTTCCCCCTCCCCGCTCCCCCGATCGTTCAATTGATCCTATTCTTTAAGACAAATTGTTGTTGCCTGGTATTGAAAAATCCATATATAGAACTTTGTTGATGTGTGTGTCCCAACGGCAAACTTGCTGCTGGAATTAATGATCGATTATATGACCCTATTAATAATTCATATTTATGTAATGCATGGTATCTGTTGACGCATGTTTTCTAATGGTTAGTATCATACCAATTCGCAGTCGAAAAGGAAGCAATTTGATATTCTAATTTTTCTTTCATGGCATGACCAGTTATCGTCCTAATTTATATTTATTGTAGCTAGCATATATTTCTGATACTCTAAACTGACCAATCAAGCATTTAATGTAAGGTTATCCCACGTGGTCAATACCCTTGTATACGATGATATTCAATTATTCATCAATGATAACGGAAAATGAAATAAGTAAATATCATTATCATTATCATTGTATATTACCGGAATCGCACTATATGTCAGATTTTCCCGTCATTGTTGTTTGATTTTTATTGATTTCTTTATTCTCCATCTAGAACGTTGGTGGGACTTGCTTACACAGCGACGGTGCTACTGCTGGTTAAATACTAGAGACCGTATCTTATTGGCTGTAATTGAAAAGATGACCCCGAATGAGCCTATGTCCATTTGTGCATCAATATACGCGTTGATTGAATGTGTTATTTGTGCGAGAAATTGATACATAATCGAGATTAGATAAGGTGGGAGCACAGCGTATTTAAGCGGGAATGGTTGTATAATGGTTTGGTTATCGTACGAGAAACCCAACTCTTGTTGACCAGTATTTACATATGATTCAGTAGCTATTCAACTATAGTGTTGATAATTACAGTAAATCGCACGAGTTTTGTCGCCCAAAACAGTAAACTAGTAGATAGTTCATGTAAATCGAGACATAAGTGCGACAATAAGAACATGATAAGGACGTTAGAACAAGGAATTTGGTACTAGAATCATAGTCATTGAGAGGTGGCGTATACCAATAGTAACAATATAATGGACTGCCAATAACACTTTGTTTGTGCGCATTAAATTAAGTATTTATCAAATATTTATCTATACACACAAAAAAAAAGAACAAAAAACAAAACAAAACCACAACAAACTCCAAATATAATAACAACGATCTTTGTGATTGGAGAAATAGATGGTTCGATTAGCCAGTGAAATAATTGGCCAGTAAGGGCTTATAGCCGTTCTCAGGATGAATATTTTTTTTTATCCGTAATATAGCAAATGTTACTAATGTTGCCTTGCACAACATCATCACCAATCACAACACATGGGAAAAGCAAAACGAGAGAGATATTGACGAAAGATAAAAGATATCAATGTGAGCATTGGTAATATGGCAAACTGGCGATTGGATGCAGGTGACGCAAAACACACACTTGTTATAAGTCGTTGTGAAGATTCCTTGTCATGATACACAATCGGTCACTATTTCTCTCTCCACACTCTATGCACATGCACATGTGACAAATAATATCACGTTAACGAGAACCACATGCACTTATTCAGCTGATCGCTCACTTGATATTGTGACAGATGTGATGCCGTTCTTTAAATAGTTAAGCTAATACTTTGAATTTCCTGAACCGTATATTAAAAATCCCCGAACCAACAAAGGAAGGTTTAAAAAGAATTGAAAAACCAACAAGCTAGTATATTGTTATTGTATACTGTAGTGTATTGTATATTGTATATTGTAGTGTATTGTATTGTAGTGTAGTGTAGTGTAGTGTAGTGTAGTGTAGTGTATTGTATTGTATATGTCATAGTGTGCATTTCATGTATTTATATGGCGATCAATGTCTGTATGTATTCTAAAGAGTAAAGGGTTTATTTTCTTCCATATTTATAGCCGATATAAATCCATAAACGTTCAATTCTTAATTCTCTTTTGCATCACCATCAAAAAAGATCGTTTTTTTCTCTACAGATTACAGATTTGGTATCATGACGTAAAGCATATAAATTAGTACTATATAAATTGGCCGGCGCATTATATCAACAGCAGGTGTCAATCCAAACAAGCTACTATAAAAGTCGAGGATTGTTTCTTGCCAAATTCTCATATCAACAACAGGCAACTAATAGTCATAGTACAAATCTTGCATACGACTCTATTTTATCATTATCATTATCTCTTATCAGTGCACTGACCACATAGCGCAGCACATATTTGTGCAACTTGTAAACATTGTGTTGAAAATAGTCAAATTTGTATAGTGAACACGTTCAAAAACCCGTAATTGATATATCCATCAAAAAGTGAATGCCTCGGGCCAATCGCATTCAGAGATAAATTTGCAAGCTAACGCCCAATCCCGCCCAAAACCATTAAATAACATTACAAATACTTCAAAAGGAGAATTTAGTATATAAAACCATAGTGAGTCTTTGTTAAACCAGACTTCCTGTGTAGTATATTAAGTTTCGTCAATGGAAAAACAATGTTCCGTATTATTAAGTGACGGCGTAACCAATAAAAATAAAAGTAGATAATTGATAGTAAATAATAACAGACAGTAAAGTAGTCGTTAGTGCAAAAAGCATCCCACTTTATGAATAGGCAAAAAGACAATCCATTCTGTAACTAGCAAGATATAGTTGATATGCTGATTTACTGAAGCCGCATAATCCCTTTATGCTTATACAAGATCAAGTGAACAAGGAAGTCAATTGCACTCAGGAGATACAGTACATGCGTGTACGAAAACACCAGTTCCAGATGCATTCAATTGATTATTAATACTGCAGCCCAACATTTATTTGTCAGCCAGCTAACACAATATACAAGTGAAAGTTCGTTGTCATTACGGAATAAATGAGTTCTTATATTTATATATATTTATTTATATATATCTCTATACAATCGATACACAAGATAATCTCCTGTGGTAGGAAAAGTTTTTAGTAACACACCATCTTATTCGCAAAAAATGCAGGCTTTTGGGTGTTCCTGCATTGTTACAAATTAATCACATAGAATGCAAGTCTCACAAAAAAGCAACCCGAATTTATGAAACAGACAATCTAGAACGTCCAGAGCATCCAGAGCATCCAGAACATTCAAAAAGTCAAACTGGGCAAGTATATGTATTTCCTCGTGAAAATCAGAAATTAAAATCGTTACCCAAAGATGCTATACAGTACGTTCTTGATAATACTTGCGCAATGTTTACTCTACATGTTGCACATGCGCATGCCTCACCTGTTCCAATTTTCAAAAAAGAGCATAGCCAAAATAAGTTACGTGATTTACGGAACTTTACTGATAACCGATAAATTTGATATTGTAATACATGATTGTGTCAATCGACACAAAGGGTAGGTTTTAAAGGACAGAACTGCACATGCAGTACTTTTGTCAAATGAAGATCATTGTCAAAAATACGGATAGGAACGAATTAGAGTTGGTATAACACATTGTTCTCATTGTACTGTCAAATCTTGATTTCCAATCCCGAATCAAATAATGCCGTTTCTCTTTGCTTCTGTGTTGCCATTCTGGCATCTTATTTGTACCATCGACGGGAGAATTCGCATGCTAATTTAGAGGCAAAACAAATAACGAACGAGTAGCCCCTGTTCTTGAATTCATGTCCATACACAATCGATCGAAAATATCCGCCCCGTTTTTTGCAAATTACACAACCTTACAACATTGCCACCCCTCAAATCGACAAATACAAAAGATCATGATTGATGTCACATAAACGGCGGGATGAACCGTCAACGACAACCAATTATAGATATAATAATATTCTAAAACTTTTTGGTGAAAGAAAAAGAACAGAATGGAGATTGTGAACTGTGGACATATCCGAAACGGCATTTTCCGAACGGGACAAGCGGGGGTTCTTCAATGAGCTATATTAGTATTGGATGCTTACGTTATCAATTTGTTTTTACATGACTGGTCTGCAATTTTCCGATGTAGTTAATCATTATTTTTTCTTAAAAAAAAAAAAAAAAAGCCGGTACAATCTATTCCAGGATTGACCCTTGACAGCCTCTCGTCTCTCAGAGAAGATTTTAATAAACATCCTTCTTATTGGCGGATCATTTGTCGATCTCGACACAGCAAATGACCCCTGAAGCTCAACAGGGTAAGAAATCGGAATTACGGAATATGGACAGACGGCGTACTATACTATAATTGGCTTTTTTCCAAGACGTTTTGATTGACTGCGGGTTTTTATATAGAAGTAGGGATCGTCGGCTGAGTGAATGACGGAAAAGAATAGTATTGACATCTAGAATAATGCGTGTAAACACGTTACACAGAATAATTATCGATAGAGCGATGTATGCTTTATGCACATCGAATATTCGACGCTATCGTTTAGGAAAGCATATCAGTGATACATTGTGTTTAATCAACCAGGATTTAATGTACAATGCCAATTACCGTAACCATATGGGACTTGGGGCGTGAAGATTTTGATTTTAAGCCCCGTTTGTTTTAAACCGCTATATTTTGATTGATAGATACACAATCGGCTGGATTATAGAAATAACGTCTGGTATTAGAATCGGTCATTTATCGTTACGACATGTGCCAATCAATGGTCATTGATCGTAGTTTGTTATCAATGGACAATCGCACGTGTACGTTCATATTGTTTTTTGGCAAAATTTGATTAGGACTTGTGATCCGATGTTTTGTTCCAGCAGATATGGTCCAGAGCAGAAAGATAAAGCAAACGCTTGATAGTTGACAGATAGACTTCCATATTACTGGAATGGTTGTTAGTAATATCCAAAAAAAGGAGCAGAATATGTATCCCACGTTATCATTATTAATATCATATGTGATGCTGATTACATAATACTTTCATGTCGGATAAAAAAATACTCATTGTGCTTTCGCTTACCTTACGCATCGATTGCTCATTAAAGGGTTTGAATCCCATTTGTTCATATCAGGAGTTTATAAGCCAAATAGGAAATCTGATCTCTACTCGCGTAATTTTAGAAATCAACTATAGTTTCTTTCATCTTGCAGAAATAATACGCACGACATTTATATATCGCTTACGTAACTGTGTATGCGTTTGTCCACAGCGGTTGCATTACGAAGGGACAAATACAGTTTATAAGCGACTAATACATGGCGAATATCCGAGGATAAAAAGATCTGCAATTTTTTTTTGTAATCCACGGTAAGTATACATGTTTGTCACACTCTGTACTCGCGGAGACAACAAAGTTGGCGTTATTCAACGGTATCTGATTTATTAATGTGCAGCTTATTACTTTTAGATGATACCGTTCCTTGAACAATTACTGCTTTGGCTAGCCATGATATTAGAAAAACGTTTGGTTCACGTATCCCAATTAGTCTTTCTTAACAATGATTATAAAGCAGGCATTAACTTGTTTTAAATTTATCTCGTACATGTGGGTGACGTTTGTAGTATAAGGGGTATCACAAAAGTGTTATCGCTTTCACGCCTACCAAAAACGTCACATTTTCTAGTAAAATCACAGGAAAGGGGTTTCTTTTTGCTTAATCAGTTTGTATTTCCTTGGGTACTCCTATTATTCTTCTCTTCTCTCTCTTTCTTTTTCATTTTATAAAATTTCATGTCTTTAATTAAATAGGGTATGCGTGACAAATAAATTTGCGAAACAAAAAGGTAGTCAAATAGCACTATATAATGAATGTGGTGGTTATTGCATAGTCAGGGAATCTTTTAACTTTACATTTTGCGTGTGTTATGGTCAAATTTACGTGTAATACAATATCTTGCTCACTTGCTGTTAAACAAAAGAGTAATAAAAATTATTATGTTTGGTCACGTTGTTTTCGGATGAGCGGTTCTTCCATTATAATAAATTAACTTTTTGCTCGAGTTCGAGATTACAATTCTATTAGTCATCTCAAACAAATATTGTTCATTCGTTGCGTCAGAAAGATGAGTACGAGAATAACGTCATGCAGTTAACGAGTACATTTCGGCGGTTGACGAATACTTTCCGTATGTCTTGGCTATGACGTCAAATGATAGTTCGCAATGTTGATTACGAATTATTAATAAGAGTTATTTATCCCTTTTTATAGCATGCACCTAAATAATGATCCGCAGATTATCCTAATAAAAGATATGCCGTCTTTTCTTAGGGAACTTGTACACTGAAATGATTTGTCAGTTTCATGTTCGCAATGATGATCATTTCAATTGTAACACAACGAAAATGGTTGAGTACCGTAAGTAACTATTTGATTATTCTTGCTAACTAATTTTCTTTCCCCCACTATGAAGATTGAGTTGAACTTTTCTGCTTGAACTTGAAGTAAACTAGTTTTACCAAGGCTAATTGGTTATTTTCACAATTGCATTCGTTTAAGATATTTAAATTTCTTTCTTGATTAAGCAACCTACTATGCGACAGTTATTATTTTAACAAGACTCACTCCTGCTTCACTTTTTATGTTGCATAAAGTGGAAAAAAAAACAAACTTATAATTTATACATACATGCTTACTAACAGAGAATAAAGATTCTCCTAATGATTAAGTTAGAATGTTGGGATGGCAAACATTATTCACGCAAGACTGACGTTCATGTCTGTTTTCTACCACTACCAACATGATAAACTTCGTCTTGGCAGCTATTTACTAAATTCCTAAATAACATGTACCTCAATCCGCACTATTCTGAGTAATGACTAGGGCTGTTGAACTTTCCGTAACTGTTCAAACAACTTTTCTAATTGTACATGAGTTTGCTCATGCTCTCAGTCAAAAGACTGGTATCTCTGAGCGATGTAGCCAATTGTTTTCGAATTGAGACACGTCGGTTTACGAGACTTGGAAATTTTTACTAATGTAATAAATAAAGACTTTAGCTTTGAAAAGCGACGGTTTTTTGATCTACTGACATTGCCGATCACCTACGACGAAATCGTACACTTTTGACCTTAATCTCTACTACACTGATCTTGCTAGCTTTCCCATACGCATACCATAAAGTATAAATTTTCCAGACATGTTTTTCTGTCTTGGCATAGAAACTAAGGCTTTATGTTTGAGATGTTTAGAGAATCTCGAAAGTTGAATTTATGATGACATGAGACAAATTTGAAAAAAAAAAAAAAAACACAGTGAGAATATTGGTTAATTTATTCACATACAGTATTAATGGAAACGTCATCAAATATAAGTTAAATAATAACCTGTGGCAACCGCTTATAAGTTTTCCATCATAACCATACACTCGTTGTGTCCGACTATACATAAATTATTGGAGGTAAATATTTATTCGAGCTTTTTTTTTTATCCAAATTGGTCGATAGTGATCTTGATCAGAACATGTACATGTATTAAATGGCTTCAAATCCAAATGAAAACGTTAAATATCATTAACGAATTTATAATGCACCGCATGGATACACGGTTACACAAATTTAATCTTAGATCGCGATCCGAATGAACCAATTACAGGGAAGAACAACTATTAATGCTTCAATAAATATTTACATCTCATATGACAATAACAACAACAGACCGGTGACGACAGCGGATGCGGATAACATTCAAAGTATCGGTTTTCTTTATACTTATTTCTTAGGTTGATAGATCTTACGCTGATACATGCTTGATGACCTGTGTTTAATATTAACAAGAATACAGCAGCCATCATAATTAAATCAAGTGTATGACGGTCAATGACTTACGATGTTTGTGCCAGGCAGCATGCAACTATAGATTATTAGAGCAATGTATTATCAGATGCTTGATCTATTAAGACGTTTTGTGATAGGCAGGACGGCAACAGTTTAAATGAGCGTACACGTTTGCCTTGGACGGTTTGTTAAAATAATTTTATACATTGGTGCAATTTTCAGTTTCGATGTAACAATAAGCAGGTTAAACAATGCTTCTTTTTTCTTGACCAATAGAATCAGGTTTTCTATTGGAATGCGTTACTGAAATTGTGAGATTAATTAATAAAAGGTTTATGAAGAATAGCGCGTGCCTATCTGCTTATTATTATTTTTAATAATTGCGCCCACCATCTTGTTCTTCTTTTCATTCAATTATCTATTGAATTCGATTGCCATTGTCTACAGTAGTTCTTCAGGCACACGATAAATAAACTTGCATATAAAGTGGTCATTTTAAACCATATAAAAACTTTTACTGGCACTCGCTGAATAGAAGATTCTATCTAAATTTAATAATCTTGTTGAAACTTACGCAAACAAGATTAAGCAGAAAAAGTAGAGACAGTATTAGATTTTATTATTAAAGTAGACATACTAACCAAATAAAGTTCCCTAAATGGTGTTTCCTTATTACAGAAAGTAACCTCATATTTGCCGCTCAATCGTTATCTTCAATTGTCTTACATAAGCCTTGTTTAAAATTACTTATAATTATAATTGCAAATATAATATATAAAAATACGCTTTTTAATATTACATTGTATATATTAAACGTAGTTTGCTTGACGTACGTTATATTGGGTTTTCGCTAGTAAGCTTGACCTGTCCCGGCTTTACGATTCGAAACTCGCAAGCCGTAAACAAAGTATCGGTTGTCGGTAAGAGATAGGTTGTTATCTTTTCTTTCCTTTGATCTTTAACAACAATCGATGAACATAACGGTCAGCTTAATTAAGACTAATTGGATATGCTGTTTACTGAATTAAGAATTAATAATAGACAACAAAGGGTGAGATATACACCAATGCTTTGAGAACCAGATCTGATAATCTCTTAGTAAATCTTCTTATTATTATCAGCCATGCGGGAATCTGTAAGACTGTTATCATAGGAATATAATGAATAAAATTTTGTGTTAGTTTAAGTTTATATCGAAAATAAATAGATTATATACGATACTCATCATTGTATCCGATCATTTGCAACTTGCTGTAATCTTTTCATTCTTATCTTGAACATTTTTGTTTATTTTAGCGCAAACCTTGCCATTGCCAGGCTGCAGATGATGCTTATTAAGCAAATGCCGGATTACCTTTAATCAGGCGATATTATACAAGTGCGCACAAGAACATATGACAGCAACAATACTCAAATGACAATTTTTGCTCCTAATATGCTTCGATTACATCAGTCTTCGATCAAATTTCTGGAAAGGTTCGGTAAGAGACGATGGGGCAGCGACACGTACACCATATCTTGCATGATGCAACATGCTAAAAGGGGAAAGTCATCCCTTCTTCCAATTCTTTTTCCGATATTCCGGCAGTTGGTTACAGAAAATTAAAAAGGGAAAGGTCTAATGTATTGATATTAAAGCGATCATTGACCGGAAAGTTAAGAATTCATATTATTATAATAGGGACAAGATAAGGTTACGATACTGAATGTGTTGTAAAACTAAGGATAGGTCGTCACTTATCATCTGACATTAATATTCATGATTCCGTAAGAATTCTTAAATTGTGCTCATCGAATAACCAACTGCTTAATTTTCCACTTCTTATTGGCGTATTATCGCATCAAACTATTTGACTATTGAACAAACGCTTTGTCTGTTTATTGCAGAATTAAACATATAGGCTCGTTTAACCGCTATGCGTCGTGTTAGAACCAGCGTTAGATTCCAAATTGAGGCAAAGACTTACGCTTAAACTAAAATTTTAATTTAAACTCACAAATAGCAAAGAGCTTACTTATTAGAAATAATTTAATTACTTATTAGTTTTAATGAGGTATTGTCAGCAATTATTCTAGAAAGCTTAGCCAAAGATACTTTTCGTTGTCTATGCTACATGCACACAGACGCACTTGGCAAAAAGTTTGTTTATCGCTTGCTGTATTATGTCCTAGCTTTTCGGAATTGAGATGTTTGCATTTATCTTTTTAATTTGTTAACGAATAACCAAACTTGTCTATAGCATAGAATAGATTATATACATTGCTGTATATTCGGTAGATAGCATACCAGGTATACGCAAGGCCTTTTGACTTGCGTAATCAAGGTTTGACACCATTAGTAGAGAAGGTAAAAGTAAATTTAATAATATATTAGACCGGAGATTTTTGCTTTCAGAAAGATTATGGTGAAGTTTGCAAAAAAACATGACGCTTGCGTCACTTTGTGACCGGCATATAAAATTGTGCCTCGTAGCTAGCCTACATTCAAAAAATTTTTTTCTCAAACAGACAAAGACCGTAGCTTTCAAAAATCATAAAGTCACATTTTAGCTTTACTTACTATATTTATAAAAATTGCCTAAAACTCGTGAACTCACCGTTTTCGAACTATTCTGGTAAAGATGAATCTAAAACCTACCCATTTATATGAGAATGCTGATATCATGAAACAAAAAATGAAGATAATCGGTCTCTATCAGGTATTTACATGTGGGTAAATTTAATTACAGAGGATATTTATATAGGAAGCGCTGTCGATTTGTCAAAACGATTACGACAGTATTTTAATTATAACTATATCTCCGATCCTACACTTGGAATAATTGTTGGACTTCACATAAAAAATACTCGGAATACCCAGAATTACTAGCATTGCTGTCATTAACAAATTTGAAAACGATAGGTTCACTGAACCTCTTCCTCGTTCAGGAAGACCTCCTCTTTTGACTGAGCGTGAAGGGCAAACTCTTGTGCGAGTAACCAAAGATAATAGGAAAGAGTCGCTTGAAGAGATTACTGAGCTGTTCAACAGCCTAGGCCTTACCAGATTAGTACTTGTACTGCTAAACGTGTACTTTATAACCATAACTTCTTTGGCCGTATTGGGTACTAGACAGTCTGCATCATATTTCTCATGAGGCCTACGCCAAACCCATTGTTAACCATCATTTTCGAATAAAAGAAACCACTCCAAATGATTGTATCCCATTGGTTATCCCACCTCTACGTTCGCGACACCATCTTAAGCGTTTTATCCTGTTATTCTCAGAAATAAAGGGGGTTTCTCTTCTCATTACAGGCCAAGTCTGTAAAAAAACTTTTAGAAGATTATTTAATTCCTTTTATTGAAAGCTTAGATTAAGATGATGAAAAAACTTGTGTCTTTTAAGATGATAATGCTCCTGTTCGTGGGGCTAGCTCTGTACTTGCCTGGAGAGAGGAAAATTCGATATCTTCTCTTCCATGCTCAGAGTCCAGATCTCAATCCAATTAAGCATTTGTGGGATCATCTTGGAAGAAAAGCAAACCCATACCAAGAAATAAGAGAGAATTAGCTTCAGTTTTGGAAGGGGAGTGGTTGGAAGTGTTTAGAGAGTTTAGTAAATAGCATGCCTCAAAAAGTTAAAGCTGTAATTAATAGTGAAGGCAATCCCACAATGTATTGGTAAAAAGTTCATAACAGGAGGATTTCGAAAATATAAAAGTTGTTAATACAGTTTCCGAGGAAACTTGATTTGAATGTTTGATAAAGTGACAAATACTTTTTGGCAGGGATGTGTAAACAAATAAATTATAAAAAATTCTGGTTTTTTTACAGCATCATAGTTTTATGCAAGTTACAGTAGTTTACAAATTTTGAATAATTTATAAGTTTTCTTGTTCTTTTGCTTTTACAACTGTAGTATGATAAAAGTATTGTTATCTAGTTGATAGCCTACAACTATGCGAGCAAATAACTGGCATAAGTAGCTCTCAAAAATCTCCTTGGTTTTGTAAATGCGTGGTTAAAATATATTCAAAAATAAATTAACCGCTATATTAATATACGAATAACGCTTAACAAATGTTAATTATAGAAATAAAAACTGTACTAACCTAAACTTTTGTTGTTGCATAGTTAATTACAACAATGTTGTACCTCAGTTGGACCTGGACTGAGTGTCTGGGTTCGGAACTGAGACAACTGGGTTCTGGACTGATCTGAACTGAGACAGGTCCCGAACTCGGACACTAACACAACAACAACAACAAGAGCAAGTTACTTTAGAGCAGCAGATACATTTGTTAGACCTCTTAACCCAGAAAAAAATCCGGTTATGAGTCTTTTTTTTTGTTCAAGCTGGCAAAATTAATCTTATGCGTGTAAATTATAATAAACTTTATTACTTTTTTCCATAAAGTTTTTTTTTCAATTAGCAACACGTTTAATTTAAATTATAGAATTTTGCTTAGAGAAATTTGACAAATCAAATATTATCATACACACAGAGTACATATTAATGTATTTTATTATTCAGTGGTATAGACATAAAATCGGACTAACACATTGCATCTTGAGTAGACGTCTTTTATTTACCTTTCCAATTTATATTAATATTTCTTCTAGGGAAGGGTAACTATGCGCTAACTTTTTTTGCAAGTTATTTATTGCTGTGTTGGTAAATGATACAAACAATGCCTGGGAGTTGTTTCCTTTTATTTGCTTGTTAGCCATGTTGAAAGGCGGATTGGTGATAAGTTTAATTAATGCAAAAAATTCCTTAAACTTATACGGTTTTAATTAATTGCGTCAAACACAGATGATAATAATAATTTGATAATACCAATCCTTTAACCAGATCCCTAATCTATCATTACTTGTACTGTTGCATGTCATTTGATTTTACAGTGTAAATTATTATTGCCCATCACTAACTGTAGTTGTTCTCTGTCTAAAAGGTGACATATTCCTCTCTCAGTGGTACCGTCTGTGCAGCAAATATTTGGTACACAAGCGACACCAGATTTGTGCAGATATAAATAGAAATATAGATGACCCGATATACCGAAATATGATGTCAAATGTAACATAGTAATAGCGGTGTCAAATTACTACGCATCAAAATAGTGAACCGTCTTCAGAATCTTCAGCATCTTCAGCATATTTGATCTATTTGTCCTTATAATCCTTGTAATTAGAATAGCTCTTAATATAAGTTGTATTTTCGTTCATTCCCTGGTGAGTTTTATCGAATCGCTGATTAAGGATAAAACGCTTTCTCGATTGGCGGCTAATAAGTTTGATCTTGCCATCGAACTTATCAAAACTTAGGCATCAGGATTATTATTCAATCGTGTTTAATGCGTTACTATTATTGAAGACTTCCCCAACCGATAGATTTTCGTTAATTATCCCTAGCGAATCACAATCGAGTGTGTGACTCAGATGTTGAATAATATCCAGAGCAAGCGTAGACAGATAGTCGGATTAAGTTTGTGAATATTGATAAATCCTATAAGGTCACTAATTGGATAGCGATTTAGCACGAGCCTAAGAGTTCCGCCGGAAGACGACTAAATCCCAAGGTCGTTACACGAACGCTCTCCCACGTGTGGCATCTCTTTACAATGCGAGAAACTTTCTGCAGCAGCCTTAAAAAAATTTTCAACTCGGTATATTATATACGTGTAATAATAATGTAAGAGCACTAAAATTTGCAAGTAGTGTACACATTTCATACTATGTATTCTTGTTAGTATTAATTATTGTTACGTACAAATATATAATCTATACCAGTCGTTTTTACTATTACTCAAACTTGTTAGAAAATTATTCTAGACACCAAATTATCTAATTAATCGAAATATTAAGAGGTGCTATTTGATGCAAAATATCTGACAAAAGTAATAAGTAGAATGCTGATGTAACACGCTTATGTAAATAGTCCTTTTCCAAGGGTAAAACCAAAACTTACCGATAGTGAATAAACTGTAAGAGTAAAAGTACTTCCATGGTAGGTGTTATCTCTTCTTCAATACCGTTTTATATGTTGTTTTATTGAACTCCTCTCTATTATATAAGACTTTTCTAGTAGTTTATTGGTTGGCCATGAGGTTGAAAGTAATGTTTGTTAGAATGTTATACGTTATCAATACGAAAATCTATGCTACA